GGGAGAAAAGGTAAATAATAAGTCCTGCGTTGTCAGAGAAAAACTTAGTTCCATCAGAAAACACTCGTTTAGCCATTTCTTAATTACATATTGAAAGGATTATTACGGTATTCTAATTGTAATATTTCATATTGATTATTTTTGCAACATATACTTCACCACCAAAGGTTAAAATATGCTATAAATTATTATTTGGTCTACGTACTAAAGTTAAAGCCGTTAAAAAAAAAATCAAAGCCTTGGATTTACACTCTCTGTTACACAATATGGCATTTTAAAAACATTATTCATGATATTTGAAAATTGTAAAAATTAGCGTGTTCAGCACTGAATTTGCTTCAAGAAGATGCCCTTGTTTCAGTATCCAAAATTTCCGACAACTGGAACCTTTCTCCAGGCACACGCAAATACAATATTGATTGCATGACTGATCGTAAACAATATCACCCTTATCGCCTTATCGACAGAGTCATTGACAGGTTGAAAGGGTTTATAATTCATTCCATAGACTTGAATTAATCATAATGTTTTAGACCGTCCACTGGCATAGCTGCCGCTCTTTACTCGTTGTAAAAAACTTTCCTGCGAAGCGTGCGCACCATGGCAGCCAAAAATGAAGGGCAAAAAAATGCGCCTCGACGTGTTGGAATCTGGCGCACATCAGTTTTTGGGCATATGGAGTTATTGGTATCGTCTTAAAGCCTGTTCATTTGCTTTGCTTTGAATGAAAAAAATATCTTTCAATCTTGAATAGAAGTCGAGATATTTCTGATCGAAGGAGTGTGGGGTCACTGGGTTCAGAGGTAAAGTTAGCGAGAAAATGGCTGCCAAAGTTTTGGTGACTTCCATAGCTTGAGTGTCCTTGAAAACAGAAAATTTACAGTTTTTGTTCCTTTAATCATTGTTTTTCGGTATAATCAACACAGAAATGTGCTTTCAAATTTTAAATGGACATAAAAGATACTGAGTCAAACATTTTAAAAAATCGATAAAAATTGCCATACCAGGAGACAAAATGTCGTTTTTTTCTTTTAAATATTTTGACGATCGCTCGATTTTACCACGATGCCACACATATGTGTCTCCCTTTAGTCGAGTGCGAGTGGCACTTTTCTTTCCCACACCCTTTATTTAGCACCAAAACTAAGTCAAATGGTGCGCTCCAAAATGGACAGGAATTGCTTCAAAGAGCATGATCTAGATCTAGGATATTATTTTCTTTTCCTTCTTTTCTTCTTTGTGTTTTCCCGCTAGATCTCAGTGGTAGTCGACCGCTAGCTCTTCAACCTGCAGTGCAACAGTTTTTTTAACGTATGTGACCGGTGTTTCCCTCCCTACTTTGTAGGGCCATCTCCTTCCTACTTCCTTATCCCTCAGTCTTAGATGACTGTTGCGGCACCAAGGATGATCGGACAACGCCATTTTTCCGTTCTTCTCTATTTTCAGCCTATCGGAGGCCTTCTTTACCCAACTTTAAACTTGTCAAATTCCGTTATGCTGTCTTCCCTTATCTCTTTTTGTCTGGGCCCTCTGTGATATTATATTTAACGTCTATAGACTCACCAGTTCTTGTCGCTCTCGGACATGCAACAGGTCGGCTCAGCGTTCTCAATGCAACAGCGAGGCAGGTCTTTGGACTCGCAGTGGTACACGTTACCGTCCCGGTCTCCCAGGCTGTCGTCTCTGTAGCACTTCTCTCCCACCACGACTGGGGGTGACAGTGAACAATACAAGAGAAACGTTAGGTAAAAGGAGGAAAAAACTGACATAGAATGAGAAAGAAAATGTGTTCCCAACATGTACGTGCGCCACGCACTCATAACACCCACGCCACGCCCCTGCCCCAGTACCTCATCTTTCTTCTTATCCCCCCAACAATAACAACAACAACAAG